CTTTATATAATGTGGTTACTGCATTTGTGTGATGCATATCAGGAGATGCAGTCTTGGGCTGAAGCTGCACAAAAAATTTTGGGGTTGCAGAAAGGCAGAGGGGAGAAGGTAGAGGGAAGAAGGAGAAGAATGTTGGTTTTTGTCCGTTGCAAATTATTGTTCCGTTAAAAAATGGCTCCATTCGGTTTTACCCATTTTTTGTTGGGTTTAAAGTTGGTTCTAACGATAAATTTGCAAATTCCCGTCAATTGTCCTTAATTGGCCAAAATTACGGAACTTTGAGGATGAAATGTGTTTTGGGTGAAACTTTGAGGTGAAATTGGTCAACAACCCAAACTTTGAGGATGAAAAGTGCATTTTTCCCTATTGCCAAAATTGAAAGTTGTCAAGCTATACTCAGGTTTCAAGAAAGAAATATGGATGCAGGATGAACTGGAGAATTCATCATGTAACATACAGCAGGATCACCTAAAGCTTCTAGAGAAGCAGTATCCACAATAACATTCTGTTCGAAAGCCTCTACTCCAAGGATAACTATATAAAGATCTTCAGTGCACAAACAACTATACTTAGGTTTCTATCCTCGATTCAGATTTTCCAGTCAACTCCTAACTCCACAAAACCTGTGTTTCTGTTCATAATTCAACAAACTTTCTAATAATGTTGTGTAATTAGTTCCTTAATAGCTCATATTTAAACTTTTGCTTTTAGAAAATTTAGTTGAAACACTATAAAGTTGCTCAAGTACCACAAACAAAATCTTTGGTACAAAAATTACAAGGCTTGAGAACAAGGTGGATTATAAGCTTGAGTGTTATAAACAACAAAATGCTATAGTTTTTCAATTAAACCACTGAGTAGCAAGTTTTATTGATTATTTTCACAATTCAGCCTAATCCATAATTGGTAAGCTCAGTCTTTCCAGCATAACTCTGAACATTAAAGGGGCTTTAGTATGCTTTCAATGGAGTTGGAAACTACTTTGGACCAGTCAAAGTAGTCACATACCCCAGAAAGCCCCTTAAGATCAGCTCTGTTTCATGCATGTACTTACTCTTGGAAGACGTTTGGACTTCAGGATTTTCCTTTCGTTCCCTGTAGGGATTTTAACTTCAGATGTTTACACAACAACACTCAGTCATGTATGGGTTTTCTTTTACATTAATTTGAGGATAAGCTTTTCTTCCGTGGGAACTTTGGAAACTTCAAAATGATATATTTTCTTTAATTGTTCTCTTTTTCTTTTATGTTCTCTATTGCATCTAATTCTATCAGGAAGCCTTTTAAATTCTTTTATCACCTAAGAAAAAGCTATGTGAAATTTTAAAAGGAGCTGACAATAAACATAATCATACTGTGCCAATATACTCCAAAACAAAGACACACTCCCTCACATGCATAACCAAAGAAATCTGTCATACACAAAGCGAGCATACAAGCATAACAGCAAAGAAAAAACAAATACAGCAACTCAAATTGACAGACTCCTAACAGTATAAGAGGTTTACCCATGTCATCCTCTTCACTACTTGAAGATTGCTTTAAATGAGACTTGTAACTGCTAGGCAACTTTGAAAGAACAGATTGATCCAAATGCTTTTCCATGTCTTCTATACACCTGAACTCAGTCAATTACAAGACACCCAAATCAACAATATACCTACAAGATGTATTTCACAATAAGAAGAATCATTCTCCCTTTACCTTTCAGCAAACCTTTTCTCCTGTCTGGAAAGCCGATTCCATAACTCGGCAGTTTTCTGGATGTGAAACACATACTTCTCAATCTGAAAATACAGAAAAATTAATCCACAGGCAGAAGATATTTGAATTAGATGTCTCACAAGATGTGGAAGAATCCATCATTCTGTCAATTTCATTTTCAAGTAGTCAGATCAAATGAGATTCGTAAAGTTCTAGGTACCCTGGAGTTCACATGGTATATGTAGGAAGAGCTCCACATGGTAATGTAGGAAAAGCTCCCTTGGATTACATTTTCTAGATGATTTTTTAGAAAAAAATTAATCTAGCACTTTGTCTGTAGAAGTATATGAGCTAAACATGACAATTGTGAAACTGGTTTAAATAACTGAAAATCAAAGGACAATTGCATGTATGAATCAATGTAATACAAAGAACAAAATGGGCCTTATTCATGGCTACCTTTTGAAGACGAGTCCGTAGATATGACCTCAAGAGAAAGATGGTCCTGTCCAAGTCCATCTGATAAAGAGACACGGTGAGTGGATCAATGCCATTTCTTGTGAATTCTCCCACTGTCTCTTCCTAAAATATAAAGTAAACCAGCTTGTGAGTTATAGAAATCAGACCCCAAAATTCAACCCTGCGAAACAAACAACTCAAAAACTCGTCCTGCATCACGGCTTCACCATGTTCAACTATGTCACTTCTGTTGTGCTTTTGGTCACAACTAGGGCACATCCAATTTTAGAACAAATAGAACATTTAATGAGAGTACCAGCAGCTACCTTTTAACTATATAGCCTACCGCACTTAAAATTCCATATGAAATAATGCTATGTTAGTTCATCAGATCAGAGTAAATCATGAAGGCAACACCTCATCTGGACAATACAGGCATACTAAAGATCCAAAAAAACAGATAATCGCCAGAAAAGAAAAAGAAGAAAGAAAAGTGCATTGAAAATGATCAGGACTTTCCATTTCACAAACATAATCTGACTAGATCTATACAGGCTCATCAACAACCTTAAGCCATTCTGACTAGATCTTCCTTTAAAGTACCAGTAGTTCCTTAGGAGAACAGAAAAGTTTCAGATATCGCATATTGAGTAACACAATGAGGATTTAAAGATTTAGCTAACATGGTATTGAGTAAAACAATGAGGGTTTAAAGTTTCAGTAAGACAATGAATTTGAGCACCTTCAAAAGAAAACTACCACAGATCAAGGTAATGCAAAACAATAATAGACGAACTTTGAGTGGACAAGCTGGAGAACTAAAAACAATAATAAGAGATGAAAACATCATTTCTTTAAAGCATGTTTGGCAACGTTCAATTAATACCTACAAAATCTACAGAATATACCATATATAACAAAATCATACACCTTAATCCAGCATACAAACCAAATGCTGAAGACCAATTAAAGATGCAGGACCTAATACTGGAACAGAAGGGAATAATTTATAATACAATTATCTAACACAACTCCAAAATTGTCAAATACTCTTTAATCTCTAAGAAACTACTTTTCCTGTAAGTAAACAACAGCAGTTTAAGAAAAATATCTACATTCTATCAAAGGAACATTTACAACATCTGGGGATTCATAGAAGGCATAATACATGTGAAGTTTCATACCATCAATTTAATTTGTTCACGTGACCTTTGAATCAGAGCGGCCTCAAATCGAAGAATTTGTGGGGCAGCCTTCTCGTTCTGCCAAGCACGTTTCAAGAGTTCTGCATCTGTTGTTGAAATCAAAGACTCGTAATCATCCATTGTCGAGTATCCTGAGGATCCATCTTGCGCACCAGTCTCCATCTGATCCAAACTCCACACACTTCCTTCAATCTTTGACAATGATACCTCTTTTTTGCAAGACAACAACATTTAGCAACTCTTTCTTTTCAAATTCTACTACAAACACAAAGTTATAAGACCCAAGTATATCTATCAATTCTTGGCCTTTGGCATCCTCCATGAAATATTCAAGTCCATAGGGTGTTCGCATAACAATAAATTCTAGAGTAAAAGAAAACAGAAAAACATAAAGTATCATCTTGGTTTAGATGAAAAGAAGAAAATTCATCAGGATTAAAAAAAGGTTCATCACTTTTGGGGCATTTGATGAAGTGGACCATAGACATAAGCATGAACAGTAGGTATTTGGAAATAAACCAAGCAAGACTAAAACTAAAGACAAATAAAAAGGCTTATCACTGAGACAATTCATCAAACAGCTCATAGGCATATACATCAACGACCCTGATCAGTCCCTCAATCGTGTACTTGGCCGGCCCCAAAATTTTATTTAACAAATAATTCAAGCTCTACAGCTCGAACCTACCGACAAATTTCAAATTTATTTGAACTAAAATCGCTCAAATTCACTATAAGAGCACTGTAACATGAAATGATTTCAGCAAAGAAGAAACTCACAGTAAGCTCCGGCTGTGGTGGAGGCCTGGACTTCTCTGGCAGAGATAATGGCGGAGCCGTGGAGGCAGGTTCAGGAGTATAGTTTTCTCTCTCTATATTCAGAACCCAAATCTATGCTGTGCATCTGTAGAATCTAAAAACTATGAAGGCTATGTTGGATCGCTAGATCTTCAGATGCGGAAGTGATATTGGGAGAAAGAAAACTGTTGATGGATCAAATTTTCAAAATTGTACTCTTAATTTCGCGGCTCCACCTGGAAATCGGTATTGAAATCTTGACGTTTAGTTGTCGCGGGAAAATTTTGTGCTTATTTGCTATGCTAGTACCAACTTTTAAAATTTTTTAAAATTTTTATCAACCTTTTTGCATCTTTTCTATGCTTCCACCAAATTTTTATTTTTACACTTATCTCATAATTGCCTCCTATTATTTAAAATACACTTTACCTGTCGAAGACATAGAAATTAGCAGATGAAGATGTTGATTTGCTAAGAAACTCCTTCTTGTAACAAAATTTTAATCTCGAGCAAACAAATCATTATTCTCTATGAGATAAATCATTATATTCTCTGTATATGTTCAAGATCTGTTTGGATCGATGAATTTGATCTTAATGGGGAATTTAAAATGAATGGGTTTAGAATCCATTCCTAATCCAATTGCATTATTTGGCTAAAAGTTTTGGTTGGAGAAAAAGAATTTATATTTAATATAAAGTGAGGGGTAGACAATGAATAAATAAAAAGTTTAATGGTTTTTTTTTTTTTTTTTTAAATTTCAATATTTATTCCAAAATCACGAAATACAGCGGAAATACAATAAAAACCACTATCTACCCTGTTTACCATTATCTACCCTGGTACTAATCTAATGGACGGGAATTCCCTAGCATCCATGGCCAGACACCCACGAACGTCCCTCGGTAACTGCTGAACTGACTCAAAAACCGAACTTGGCCCACCTTGTAGGGCCGCTAATCTGTCTGCCACCATGTTTGCTTCTCTGTAAATGTGTGTAACTGTGCCAACCACCTGCCTCAGCAGACGGCGAATCCGACGCAGCAGATTGCAATGCACCCACCCTCCCAACGCCGACGAGTTGACCAGAGATACCAGCGCCGCCGAGTCTACCTCCACCAATACCCCCTGAACCCCCCGTGTCACACATTCCCGCAATCCTTCCTGAAGCGCCAGCGCCTCGGCCCCCAATACCCCCTTCTCACCAAACTCCTTGTAAAACGCGAAAATTAGCCTACCTTCCGAGTCACGCAAAACCCCTCCTCCGGTCGCCCTGCCATTAATCACGCTGGCGTCTGTGTTTAATTTGCTCCGATGGGCCGGGGGCCTGTGCCAGGAAACCACTATTGGCCGGCGATGACGGATGACCGGACTGGCCAGCCTTGCCCAATTATCCTCCATATCTCCATAGAACTGCGCCTTCCTCAGCCTCCCCGCACGGCCCATATCCTGGATGAAGTTATCCACCTCCCAACTAACTTGCTGCGCAGAGAATGTCTGACCTTCAAATCGAGCCTTGTTTCGTCCCTTCCATAGGAACCACCATATCAGAACCGGAAGGATACATCTGATATGAGAGACTGGCAACCGTGGAAGGGATGCAGCCCATTTCTTCCACAAACTTTCCAGCCCCTCAATTGGTCGCCGCCCTACCCCAAACCTGTTCCCAAAACGACCCCAAACCTCCGTAGCCACGGGGCCATTGACAAAGAGATGAAGCACCGATTCTTCTTCTTCAAGACAACAAGAGCAGCGAGAGGCGAAAGGTATCCCTCTCTGGCGGATAACCGAATCCACCGGTACAAAGCTTCTCAATAGACGCCAGGAGAACATAGACATCTTCAGCATTACACCCCTATTCCACACCATCCCATGCATGGGGGATCTACCTTGACGCCTTCTACAGCTCTCCCAAGCCGAGCTTAGCGAGAACCCCGCCGAAGACGATGGGGACCACATGATTTGATCCTGACCCTCCAGGTCAAAGGGTATTTCCATAACCATCTCCACAAGGTGCAGCGGCAGCCACTGCAGGAGACGCTCCTTGTTCCACCCTTCCCGTCCCATAAACTCGGCCACCAAGAAATGAGGACGGTCACCATCTGCTACCACCAATGACTGAAGAGGTCCCTGCTCGCACCAGGTGTCCAACCAGAAATCTACCATACCTGGGCCAAGGCTCCATGAAATACTCGCCTCAGCCATGTCGCGTATACCGATAAGACGCTTCCATGCCCCTTTCGGTCTGAGTGCTACCGCCTGACTCGGATGCTGATCCCCTATATACTTGGAGAACATATACTCCGCCCAGATCGACCTTCGCTGCCTCAGCTTCCACCACAGTTTACAAGAAAAAGCCTTGACCATGTCCTCCAAAGATCTCACCCCCACTCCACCCTCCTCCGTTGGAAAACATCTCCTCCTCCATCCGTTAGGTTTAATGGTTTAATGGTTGAAATTGAATTTTATTTATTCTTCCACATCTCCTCCATCCGTTAGGTTTACGTGTTGCTATTACGGAGTTACTGATACAAAGGAGCCGCTTCAGTTTTAGTAACTATTTTCTGGCGATTGACTGGTCAATCACTCCTTTTTTTTTTTTTTTTTTTGGATAACGATAACATTTGTATAACCTAATCTATCCTATTCTACAGGAAGGGGAGCCTAAGAAGGCTCACTCCTTTTCCACTTAGACAATGTGTGGTTCTTCAAAGTAAACTCAATAATTTTCTCACTTGCATGTTGTCATATTTTGTTAATAACTCTGCCCAACGGCAATTGGCAGCGGCCATCCACTCTTCGGCTCATGCACATAACAACGCAGATTCTGTAGAGCAAAGATAGATTTAAATGAATGGAATTTTATTTTATTATATAAATCACATATGTCTGCATTCGTTTTATGATTTGCGACTAATCCTATTTGAGTCGAGTCCGGCCCCTAGGGGGCAAGTTCTTCCAACGTTGTTCGTTTCATTTCTCATGAATTTCGAACCTGAGCCATCATGGTTATGAGATACAAACCCCTTTCACTTGCATCAACATCCATCGGTGAAGGGGATTTGATATGACATATTATTTGAGTGGATTTCAAATTCACTCATTTTTACCATCAAATTTTGGTGGATTTCAAATCCATTTTTCACAAGTTATCCAAATAGCCAAGGAAAGTTGGGTGGATTAGAAATCAAATTCACCCAAATCCCTTAGTCCAAATGCTACCTTACAGTTTGTTTCCGCAACCATGCAATGCCTCAAAAGTATATTTTGCTTAATTTGGTCAGTTTTTCATATTCTTGCATAGATTGCTACCATACTTTCACCAGAAAATGACACAAAACTTTTGTAGACACCAAATTTTTGCTAAATTTTTGTCAAATTTTTATATTTTCTTGAATATTTTCTATTTGATGAGTCATTTATTTTCTTACATTTTAATGCATATTTTTTCTCCTTTTTGTAGGTTCATTTTAAGAAAAGAAAATTATGAAAAAAAATCAAAAGCAAAAATCAAAATCAAATCATGACTAAACTTACACATTTTAATCATCTCCCCTACCAGAATCACTATTAACCCATTTTTACACTCAATTTCCATGCACCTTTCTTTTCATTTGGTAAAAAAGCCATCATTTGACAAGAACCAAACTCCACTCTTTCTCCTAATACAATCTCTCGGCTCTCTCTCTCAACTTTTGGACCTCTCAAGATACCATCACAGATACAAAAACACAAGAAGAAAAGGAGCTCTCGGTTGGGGCTTCTTCCTTTCTTCCAAAAAAAAAAGCCACACCTACAAAAAAGAGGATTCCAACTTAACTTCCCAATTTCCACTCTCGGCCATCTCTCTCTTCTCCTAACACACTCACACACAACATAAAAAAAAAAAAAAAAAGAGTTAGCAACCGGTTGGATTGAAGCTTGGGATTTCATCAAAATTTTAATAAAAAAACTACAACCTTCATTGAGGGTAATTTGACTCCATTTAGTCACCACTTCAAAAGGGAGATACCTCTATTATTATTTAAATGTCAATTACGTGCTCTTATTGTGAGGACCCGAAAAAATTCTTATTTTTATCGAATATTAATGGTTAAACTAAGTATTTATCCACCTGTTTTCCCCAAATAATTTATTACAACCATTTTAAATCCATTCGTATGGAACAATGTCTTCATTATGCTTTTAAAACGTCCCGGTAACAACTTCAATTTTCGGAGGATTGTTTAAGTGAGAAATAATGAACACGAGTGTTTCAAGGTGAATAAGTTCTAAATGAGCATATACTACTCACGCGTGGATAGTTTTCCAAAAGACGCATGGATACAAATTTATTGGAGATTTAAGGAGTTAATACTCGACTCATGTGAGGACTCGTAAAACTCCTATTAAAACCCTATTTTGAGCTTATTTAATTATTTACTTGTTCATTTATTCTGAGTATTATTTTCTAGACCTATTGAACCTAATTACGTGGAAATATAGCTTCGTTATATTTTTAAAGTGACTTGTTTCAAGAATTAATTTCTGGGAGCGCGTTTAGTGAGAACAGTGAATAGTGCTTGGAAATTTTACCCGATTGAGAGTACAATAGGCTTGGAATATTAAAGATTTATACAATGGACCTAAATTAGGTAATTTCATGTTTAAATACTCAAGTGATAGTTATTAGTATTATCGTTGTAAGAATTTCTCGGAAGTTTCGTGTTATCACGCTTAAATTGGAGATACGCGTTTTCACACGCGTGATTTTAATTGAGGGACTTTAGACCATTATTTTGGGACAATTAAGAGTGAATAATATTTATCTGAATATAAGTGCATTAGAGGTTTAGTGCACTAGTGAAACAAATGCGAGAGAAAATCGAGCCCAATCGCGCCCTACGCGCACTATTGAGAGTTGACTTTGAGGTGATCTTTGCACCACACATTGTATCTTCCTTAGGAAGCTAAATTTGGACCAAACATACTCTCTCTTAGTCTCTCTCTTGGCCGAACATCAGCTGGAAATTCTACACAAGAGTTGCCTTTTTTTTTCATCTTCAATTCTTGCACCAAACCTTCATAGATTCACACCAAAATTGAAGACCACCTAGCTTATTACTTGGAGAGTCCATCTAACTTCAAAAGGGAGGAGCTTTCACGGTTTCTTGGAGCTTCAAGGAGGGCCGAAATTCTGGTCTTAAGCACACCAAGGAGGTATATAGTGATCTAACACTCTAAACTTGGTTTATAAGAGTTGATTTACACTTGTAGGCTTGGATATTCATGTGGATGACTTGTTTATGGTGTAAAATGAAATGGGTGGGCTCTATGAACTCCCACCTTTGTCTTGGAGGCTGATTTCATGCTTGATGATGTTTATAATGTTGGATTAGTGCTTAAACTAGTGGATTATTGGTGGAAAATTGATGGAAACTCATGATGGGTGCAAAGGCCAAATCTGACCATTTTGCCCCTGCTTTGTTCGGCCACTTTAATGCAAAAATTTGAGGATTTAATGGCTTGATTGTGTTGTTTACATGTTGTAGTAGTTGTATAAAAATTTTCATTGAAAAATACTGAGTTTTGGTTGGTCAAATGAATTTATTTCCCAAAGCTAGTAATCTGGAAACTGATCCCGTAATGCTCAGACCAGTGTTCGTATTTCGTCCATAACTCCATGCTCCGACGTCGAAATCAAGTGCCGTCAGCGGCATTTGAAACTAGATATTCCCACCTTTCCAACGGTATAAAATTCATGTTCTGGTTCCATGTGTGTGAGCCGCACCACTCTTTTGAATTCAGCTGTTCTGTTTCTCTGTTCTGTTCGAATGAAATACAGAAGCTGTGATTTGAAGCTCGATTTCGAGCTAGTTGTGTACTGAATTTCGAAACATTTTCTTTTGAGAAATTTTATCCCTATGAATTTATTTTCCAACACTATCAACCATGCTGAATTTTGAGTTAAATTGAGTGAGTTATGATCAAAATACGGAGACTGCCCTGTTCTTGAAAACCCCAACTTTTAGACTGATTTGAGACTTGGAGTGGTTTTGCTAATTGAGTTTCGTGGTGTTAAACACCTACCAAATGTACCATGTATGTTCCTTAGGCCTTTCCTACACAAATGAACCATGTTTGGAGGATTTTCCTTAGCCAAATGTTTGGAAATGAAGAACAAGAAGTTCAAGGCAGTTATGCCTTAAGAATTTTTCAAAACTTTGGTTGGATAGTTGACTACCTTCCCGAAGGTATATTTCATGAAATTTGATAGAGAGATACCCTTCATATAGGAGTATTATACTGCCAAATTTGGTACCAATCCAAGTCCGTTTCGACACTTAACTAAAGATCCCAAGTCGGAAACCCAAATCTGGAATTTGTTCAACAGTCTCGAATTTTCCCCAACTTTGAGCTACCGTATCTCGGTGCTCGAAACTCCGATTCTTGATCCACTTTTTCTGTTAAAAACATTACTTGAAACTCTAATTGAATTATAGATTTCAGAGGCTAGCTCGCAACGTGTGAATTTTGCCAAATTTCCAAAGTTAGCGAAAAACCAATCCCAACACAACCTTAAGTACCCTGAAATAGTAACTTTGAGCCCATTTTTGAATGTCTTCCATTTAGAATCATGGAAAAGTGTCTTCTAAGAACTTTTAGTACTTTCAAATAAGTTTCCAATGGTACCAAGTTTTCCAATTTTTGACATGTAAAATGTGAGATACGATTTTTCAAAATATCGTATCAAAACTGAAAATTTTCCGAATTCCAAAGGAAGGGAGTTTTCAAGCACTCCTTATTCCTTCGATATTACTTGAACATTTTATACTTGATTTTTCGAAATGAAAACTCGATCGCTTTTGTACTTTAAGAAACTCTAATTGAACCTCGATTTACGAGTAACTGAGGTTCGTTTTCATGAAATTTCCTTAGATTGTACTAACATACAATCTTCCTTGATAATTGGGGCACGTGAATGATAATACATTATATTTTGCTCAGGTGCACTCGAGAACCTTCAAGAGGATCCAACAGTGAACACTTGAACTTCCAGAAAATATTTTTTCTTGATTTGCTCGGTGAGTGTCAAGTGTATGGCTACTTGAACTCTATGGACTTGATTCATGCTTGGCTTACCTGATTACATGCTTAGCCTACTTGGTTTTGAAAAATGGAGTCGAGTGTGTACTTTATCGCACTCGTTCTCATTTGAAACAAATGACTCATGCTTAAAATGTTTTGCCTGATTTACATGACCTGAAATACATGCTTAAACCTGTCGAATGCTTTATTACATGACATTGTATGCTATGGTTGCATACGTCGTTGGAGTGAATCTCCTCGACACTTACATGATACATGGGGGACGTCCAAACTCATAG